CACCATTTTTTTGAATCAATTCATCAATATTTTTCCTTCAAGTCCACTTTCATCACCACTTTCATCACCACTTTTCAAACTCATAAAAAAACCTAGCACTTGTTGGGTTCCATCAACCCATGTTCAATCGACCCAACGGCTGTTGGGTTCGAAATCGAACCCAAATCAAATAATCAATTCATCAATATTTTTCCTCCGAGTCCACTTTCATCACCATTTTTCAAACTCATAAAAGAACCCAGCACCTGCTGGGTTCCATCAACCCTAGCAGCTGCTGGGTTTGCAAAAGGTAAAGGAAAGGAAGAGAAAAGAGGAAGGGAAAAAGTGAGAGAGAAATGGGGTTCACTAAACCCAAATCTAGTGTTAGGAAGGGAGAGAGAACATTAAAGGATTTAGAGGTTGAAGATGAGGGTAATATGGTCATTTTATTATGTTTAGGGATTACTTAGATAAATTTTTTTGCCAAATCATGTATTTTGCCACATTATAAATTCCACATATTTTATTTATTAAAAATCATGTATTTTGCCACATTATAAATTCCACATATTTTATTTATTAAAAAGACATGCTCTTGCTGTTAGCTAACATGTCACATCAACAAAAAATTAACGAAATGACCAAGTTAGAGTCAAAATGACAAACAGTAAGAACCAACTCAAGGATTTTTTGAATTAAGAGACTAAATTGAGGGGTCCATATAATAGTTGAGGAACCAAAATGGGGGTTTAACTTAAAATAAAGAAAGAATCAATTAGAAGAAGAAGAAGAAAAATTAAAGAGACAAAGTAAGGTAATACAAAGATATATTATATTTCTATTATTTTCTTCTCCATTTATTCTTCATTCGTTCTCTATTCATTTGCAATAATACTAGCCCTATATATAAGGGCCAATAGGTGATAGGAGTTACAAGAAAGAAACACCTACTAAATGGGAAGTTATAAAGGTTAATCTCCTACTAATGGAGAAGTTACAAAAAATTCCATTATCACCATCTAAATGCATTGTATTATGGAGTGTATCATCTTTGTTATTACTTGGAGGTAGTGGAAGCTACACCATTATTTGATATGTAAATGCCATGGAAAATAGGAAAGTGAGAGAATGAAGAAGATAAAACATTCACAATGAATTGATTCATAATAATAACTATTTCTTTTTATACAACTCAAACTAAAAATAGTAATAATAAGGTATATTTAAGGCCTAAGCTAAACGGATAAATAATTTTCATTCTAAAGCCCAATTGTTATGGGCTCAATGCCATATTATTTCTTACGAGGATTGAAGCTCAATTATTATGGTCTAAATTCCAAA